AGATGTTCTTCCTTGAGAAAAGGGCCTGCCAGGGGCCCCTGGGAAAAAACTCCCATTCAATCATTCCACACCTAGGTGATTCACACCAAGATCCTTCCTTGATACTCCTCCTCTTTGTTTTCAGACAGTTCCTCAATCCAGATGTGTCAAGAGCTGTCTCCCTGGATCTGCCAAGCAAGTTCTCGAAGGGAAGCCACCCTGCTGCTATGCTTGTGCCCCCTGTCCAGAAGCCACCATCTCTGCTCATGAGGGTAGGTGTCTTCAGAGGAAGAGATCACATTTCATGGTCAAGTCAGTCAAAAAGCTGAGTGCACCTCATCACTCAGTGTTTAACTAGAGGCTATACTGAGGATCTGCCTCGCCATTGATGGAATGCACATCTGAGGAAGGCTCCCCTTCTTCAACTTGGATGTCCTTTCAAGACGATGTCCTTGGACAGGAGGTCTGATTTTGCCTGCTATTCCAGTGCACAGAGAGAATCCTGCTTAAATGTTGAGTTTATCTATCCTCCCTAACCTTGATCTCCTTTGCTTTAATTCTGCTATTCATCTTCATCTCTTGCTGTTACAGTTTTTATGTCACACCAATAGATTTCCTGGAGGGCACATGAGAAATGTTTTTAAATGTTAGTAAATACGCACTTGGACATGGACATCTATTCAATGAAGTTTTTAAAAGTGTTTATCTTCTTAGAGCCTTTCCTGGCTTTTGCATTTCTAATCTCACACATTAATTCCACATGGAGGGTTGAATTAAATGACTTTGGAGAACAATATTTGAAATGCAATTCATGGAGATGGGAGCTCCAAGCACCCTTCTTCTAGCTTGACTCATGTTCATCTCAAGAGCAGATGTTTCTTCTAGAGGATTGGGCCACCTGCAGCAACACTTCAACTCACTTCACAGTCATTGATTCCATGGAAAACAGAAACATTGTTCTGCAAATGGAGGAGGGATCCGAGTACAATGGCATCTGTCTTTTCTATCCTCACATCATTCCATAGCTTCTTTCACTGTAACATCTGCTAGCAAGACCTGCCCTGGATGGGTATGCAACACATGGGCGGTCCAGTAGACTAGATTTCATTCTCTGCACCCAATCTTGGTAAGGTTTCTCCAGGAAGGCACTCCAAAAGGCTGTCTCTAGCCTGAGAAGTCTAGACTAAGATACCTCCATCCCTCATTCTTTTTCATTTCTTTTTGGTCACCCATGCACTGGTAACATCCAAAATAGATTACTGCAGTGCACTGTACATGGAGCTGCCCTTGAAGACTGTCCCGCCATGACAATTGCTACAGAATATGGCCACTCAATTGGTGATGGGACCCCTAAAGTGGCCCACATAACACCTATTCTGAAAGATCTCCATTGGTTACCAGTTGTGACCCGGGCTCAATTCAAGGTGCTTGAGCTGACATATAAAGTCCTAAATGGCTTAGGCCCCCGTTATCTTAAGGAGTGCCAGCACCCACATGTGCCTGCCCATCCTTTCAGAACTACGCAGGGGTCCCTCCTGTGTGAGCCATCCCTTAAGGAGGTGAGAGGGATGGCTGCTAGGAGGAAGGCCTTTTCTTCAGCAATTCTGCATATCTGGAATGCTCTCCCCAGAGATTTTCCTGCTGTCTTCCTTACTTTCTTTTTAGTGCCAGGTGAACACCTTCCTTTTAAAAAAAATTAATAATTGCCATTTAACCTTTGTTCAGTATTTCTGCTTGTATTTTATTGTTATACTATTTTTGATATATTGTTATTGGTGTTTATTGTGTTTTTATCTTGTAATTGTGAGCCGCCCAGGGGTGCTGTAGCACAATTGGGCAGCATACAAATGTTTTGAGTAAATAAATAAATAAATAAATAAGGTCTGCTTTAAACATATTCAAACACTCCTACAAAGAGGATCAAGTGTCAGATTCAAGTCTTCACATAGGAAGATGCTACTCCCAATATCAAAGGGATTTTTACTTGGATTTATGCTGGTTGTGACCTTGTGGGATTCAATATAGGTCTGTGACGGTTTCATCCACCACTACTAGAGAGGGATAGGGGAGGGGAGAGATTCCCTCCCAACAGTTGCTCTCGTGGGATTATGCTTGCTGAGACATCCAAAGCCAGAGAGTTGTGCAGATGAGGTGGATTCCAAAACACACCACATCTGCCTACCATGCTGACTTTGGATGCCACGACAACCAGCACACTGTGAAGACAATTAGCAAATCCAGCAATGTGGAAGCAGGCCATGAAGGATGAGGGGAAAAGCCACCATTCCTGGGAATCATCAACCCCTGCTGGTTCTTCTTCATTTCCCACACATCCCTAAGTTGCCCATCTCAGTGTGTTATACCACAGACTTTTCTAGAAAACATCAGATGCATGTTAATTAAACTACATTCACTCTTCCACCTTTCAGATGCAGATCACTGTATTGCGTGTCCAGCAGATCAGAAACCAAACTCTGACCAGAATCATTGTGTGCCCAAGGAGGTGAGCTTCCTGTCCTTTGAAGAACCTCTGGGGATCTCCCTGGCTTCCCTTGCCCTATTATTCTCCTTTGCCACAGCCTGTGTCTTAGTAATATTCATCAAATACTTGGTCACTCCCATAGTCAAAGCCAACAACCGGGGCCTCTCCTACATTCTCCTCATCTCCCTCCTGCTTTCCTTTCTGTCTTCCTTCCTGTTCATTGGCCAGCCACACCAAGTGACTTGCCTGCTCCGACAAACAGCCTTCAGCATCATCTTCTCACTTGCTGTCTCTTCTGTGTTGGCCAAAACCATCACTGTGGTGTTGGCCTTCCTTGACACCAAGCCTAGAAACAAGGTGGGAAGGTGGCTGGGAAAGAGCTTAGCCAATGCAACTGTCATTTCCTGTAGCAGTGTGCAACTGGTCATCTGCTTCACCTGGTTGGTCACTGCTCCCCCTTTTCCTGACTCTGACATGCAATCCCAGCATGGTCACATCATCCTGCAATGCAATGAAGGGTCTGTTGCAATGTTCTACACTGCCCTCGGCTACATGGGCTTCCTGGCTGCCATCTGCTTCATGGTGGCTTTCCTTGCCAGGAAACTGCCAGGAGGTTTCAATGAAGCCAAGCTGATCACCTTCAGCATGCTGGTCTTCTGCAGTGTCTGGGTGTCCTTTGTGCCCTCCTACCTGAGCACCAAGGGGAAGTACATGGTAGCCGTGCAGGTCTTCTCCATCTTGGTCTCCAGTGCTGGGCTGCTGAGCTGCATCTTTCTTCCCAAGTGCTACATCATTGTCCTGAGGCCTGACCTGAATACAAAGGAGCATCTCATGATGAAAGCAAACGATGGCATCTGACCCTAAGCTTGTGGAATGCTCTGGAATATGTCAGAACTACTAAGCTGAGAGCTAAATCTCAAGGAGACATCCAGCACCAACTTCCCCTTCTTGCCACAGTGTTCAAAAAGCAAGGCTACTTTCAATGGAAACCCTTGTTACAGAAGTAGGAAGAGAAGCATCCCAAGTTTTCAGTTTGATGCTACATCCCAGAAGAAGTTCTTCAGTGCCTTTTAGCTCCTACCCAGTTCTTCCAAAAGGGGGTCTAAATTTAAATAAACCTGTGCTTCGAAAGGAGAATGAAGATCAATGCATCGCTGGATGCTGGCAGGGATTACCATGCAGGCCTATCCAGCGACAGAGTCTACCTACAAACAAAAAGGGGGACTAGCTTCAGTTAGTGCTCATGGGGAAGCTGGCAAACTAAAACTCACAGCCACCCTCAATTTGAGGGTTGGGATTATGGTTTAAAATACACACAGTTGCACACAAAATCATCCCCCACCAATCAGCATTTCTCTGTTAATGTACCCCCTTGTTCTGTTGTCCCTTCTAGTGGTCCATCAATTATTCTACTCTCATCTGAACAGAATGTGTCCACTCCCAGTAGGGAATATTTGCATACAGTGCCCTTGTCCAGTGGCCAGCAGAATGCACTCTGCTTGGGCCTGCCCTTGAAGATTAACCAGAAGCTGCCACTTGTACAAAATGCAACAGTCAGACCGATAACAGGACCTGAAGGTTCACGTACATAACACAGTTCTGACCCACTTCTACTCACTGCCTGTACACATCAGAGCCCAGCTGAAGGTGCTGGTTTGTAAACTAGGAAGCCTTACATTCATTGTTGTGTTTCTTGCCTTGTGTAGACTTTTGAACTCTGGTACCTTATTTTACATTGTATTCTATTGTACTTTGTAAATTGCAATAAAGCATTTTGTAAACTGAGGCCTTTTATGGCTGTGGTGGTATAGATATTTAATTTAATGACAATAATAACAATAAATTTTTTGGGCTGCAATTCTTGAGGGAATGCTTCTCTCCACCACTCTCTACCTGGAGGCTATGATCAGTATCCAGGGCTTTCCTCCAACTGCCACCACTGATGGAGGCTTGGTTGGTGGTAACTAGGAGAAGGGCCTTCTTAGTCGTAGTGCCTAAATTATGGAATGGTCTCTCCCCTGAGCCTCACCAGACACCAAGTTTACCATTCCTTCAGTGCCAGTATAAGAGTGCTTCTCTCGATAAGGGACTTCCAAATGTTCTGAGAAACATCTTAATCTCAGCTCTATGCTGTCTCAAAAATAATTTATGAGCTTATCCCAACATAAATAGGCCATTTGACATCCCAGTTTAAAGTAGAGAGAAAGATCAGAAAGCTGTGTTAATTACATTATAAATAACGTCAGCCTTTTGTCAGAGCAGATTTTGTTTTGAGTACAGCATAGTCAGGGATGGGGCCAAATTAAAAAGAAATGGCAAAAAGTAGAGAACTATGTTTGTTGACTATGCTAAAGCCTTTGATTGTGTATATCTCAACAAATTGTGGCAAGTTCTTAAAAAGATGGGAGTACCAGACCATCTTATTTGTCTCTTGAGAAACCTATATTCGGCAAGGTTGCAAACTGTCACCCTGCCTATTTAACTTACATGCAGAATACATCATGAGAAAGGTGGGGCTAGATGAATCACCAGTTGGAATTAAGATTGCTGGGAGAAATATGAACAACCTCAGATATGCAGATGATACCACTCTAATGGCAGAAAGTGAAGAGGAACTAATGAGCCTCTTAATGAGGGTGAAAGAGGAGAGCACAAAAGTTGGCTTGAAGATCAACATTAAGAAAGCTATGATCATGGCATCCGGTCCTCTCACTTCCTGGCAAATAGATGGGGAAGAAATGGAGGTAGTGACTGATTTTATTTCCTGGGTTCAAAGAGCACCGCAGATGGGGACTGCAGCCAAGAAATTTAAGGACACTTGCTCCTTGGGAGGAAAGTTATGACAATTCTAGACAGCATGGTAAAAAGCAGAGCCATCACCCTGCTGTCAAAGTGCGTACAGTCAAGGCTATGGTTTTCCCAGTTGCAATGCATGGCTATGAAAGCTGGGCCATAAGGAAGGCTGAGCGCCGAAGAACTGAGGCCTTTGAATTGTGGTGCTGGAGAAGACTCCTGTTAGTCCCTTGGACTGCAAGGAGATCAAACCAGTCAGTCCTAGAGGAGATCAACCCTGAAGGACAGATAGTGAAGATGAAACTCAAATACTTTAGCCATCTAATGAGAAGAGAATGAGATGGCTAGATCAAGTCACTGAATCTGTCGGTGTGAGCTTAAGCGGACTCCAGGGGATGGTGGAGGACAGGAAGGGTTGGAGTAATGTTTTCCATGGGGTTGCAATGGGTCAGACGTGACTTTGCAACTAACAACAACAACAACAGAGAACTATGTAAAGTGCTCCACCTGTTAGATGAATAAGCAAATGACAAGCTTGAAATGTCAGATTAGCTTTAATGGGTTACTATTATGCCAGAATGGCCTAGCAGCTTAGAGGTATCCCTCAGTCAAGATCTCAAATCTCATGTCATGCCAAAATTCAAGAAAGGCAAATAGGAAGCTTTCAGAATTGTCTCTAACTAGAATTGTATCTTCAGAATTGGAGGCCCAAGCATCAGGATTCCAAGGGAGACAGAGATGGAATTAAAGATGAAAGTCCTTAGAGAAATGCATTAAAGAACTAAGAGAGGAGACTGAAAAGGCTGACCAACATTTGAAAGGTCTTGAAAGTAGTATTGGAGAGATGGGAAAATGCAACAAGAGAAACAAGTGATAACACAGGACATGGCAGACCTTATTTTATCCTGGGGGTGGGGCAGGGAGACATTTTAGACCTGGTTCTAACCAAAAGGGAAGATCTGGTGGATGAAGTGCAGATTAGGGGAACTCTGTATACAAGTGACCACTCCATCCTATGCTTTGAGATCAGGGAACAAGGATGAGCAGTAGGTTAAAGCAGTAGGAGTTGGGATTCCTCAAGGGCCAAGTTCACTCAGTTGAAGGCCAAGCTAGGGGAAGGCAAGGAAGTTCAGTGGGGTGGATGGCTCTAAAGGGGGGGGGGGGGNGGATTCCTCAAGGGCCAAGTTCACTCAGTTGAAGGCCAAGCTAGGGGAAGGCAAGGAAGTTCAGGGGGGTGGATGGCTCTAAAAGGGGAGGTTTTGAAGGCACATGGCTTAATGATACTGTGAAATAGTGTCAGGAATGATATTATAAGAAAAGGTATAGGTTTTAAAAATGAGATTAATATTAGCTTAATTGTTGATAATACTTTATTAACAATAAAGGACCCATTAGGAGCTATGATTCAGGTTAGATTGCACTGGTAAGAATTTGAAGAGATAGCAGATTTTAGGATGAATTGGGATGAATCAGAAATGTTATTTAACAATAATAAGGAAAAAATTCTACAAAGAAGTGGTATCTAACTCCAGTGAGGTCAACTTGAATAGATAACAAATACTCCAATTCATCTTGGAGATGTGGTCTCGAAATGGGTACATATTTTCATATGTGGTGGGAAATGTGAATATACAACAAACTATTGGAAACTATTGGAAAGAGGTTTTTAAAGAGTGCAGTAAAACATTAAATCTAAATATAGACATATTCCCTAAGATTGCTTTACTTTCAATGTCTGATAAAAAAACTATGGAGTTGGAATACCAATGCATTAATAATAAATTTAATAACATCAGCAAGATTAATTATAGCTTTGAATCAGAAAATATTTTTTTACCAATTGTCTGATTGATATGGAGAAGTCTTGAGCATAGCTATTTATGGCAAATTATAATGTGATATTAAAGTGAGAAAAGGTCACATAAAAATAAGTTTAATAAGACCTGAGCTATATTCATTGACTATGTTTTAAATAAAAGGGAAAGGATTTGAGCCATCAAAAGAATCATTACAATTTTGAAAGGGGAAAATGACCTGAAGTATTTCATAGTGGGTTCCCCCCCCCCCATTTCTTTTACCTGAGACATGAACCTCTGGTCCTGGTAGTGGGGAACACAGTTATGCAACAATTATTGTTAGTGTATTTTAATCTTTATGCATGCATTTTAAATATAGTGGATTTTTTTGTTGGTAGTATTACAGTGGTGCCTCAGCTCACAAATGAGTCAGTTCACAACCAAGTCAGGTTGTGAACAAAAATTTCATAAAAATTTTGACTCAGGTTGCGAACTCCATATTGCATGGTGACCGCAATCAGGCCATCTCCTCACCCCCCGCAGCTGAGTAGGGAGACGTCCGTAATTGTGCTGGAGGCAAGGGGGAGATGGCCGAGATCACACCAGTCTTTCCTGCACTAGCGCACCTGTGGTTGCACCCATCTTTCCTGCACGAGCAAAACCGTGATCTCGACCATCTCCCCCCCACATGATCATGCCCGTCTCCCCACCTTGAGTGCACTCGCATTTGCACCAATCTCTCCCCCCCAGTGCCCCTGAGTTCCTGCCTGTCTCTTCCCCCACCGCACACTGGGATGATGGGCACGTGCAGGGATGACAGGTGCAATCATGGTTGTGCTAGGGGAGGGGGTGGGAATATGGCTGCACTCATACTCGCGGGGGGGATGGCCACTGTCTTTGTTGTTCTTTGTAACTTTACTTCACATTTTTCTGATTAAAAAAATAATAATTACAGAACGCATTGATCTTACATTGAACCTTATGGGGAAATTTAACTTGGCTCATGACCAATTGGGTCATGACCAGAGTCCTGGAATGGATTAAGTTCATGAGCCAAGGTACCACTGTACTTTTTTTAAAAGGCTTTGC